ATAAACAGATTCATGATAAATGGAGAAAAGATTGAAGTTTTCAAGGACTTCATATTACTTGGTTCTACAATCAACACCTACAGAAGCAGCAGTCAAGGCATCAGACAACATGATCAAAAGACCTCTTTCAAGTGATGAAGAGCAAAGATGTCTCCTTGAAGACTAAGATGATGCCTAACCCAAGCCATGGTATTTTCAATCATCTCTTATGCACGTGAGAGCTGGAGAATGAATAAGGAAGACCAAAGAAGAGTTGATGCTTTTGAGTTGTGGTGTTGGCAAAGAATAATGAAAGTACTATGGACCGCTGAAAGAATTAACAAATCTGTCCTGGAAGTACAGCCAGAATGCTCCTTGGAAGTGAAAATGGCCAGACTTGGCCTCACCTACTTTGGTCATGTTGTCAGAAGGAATCATTCCTTGGAGAAAAATATCATGCTTGTTAAAGTGGAGGGTCTATGAAGAAAGGGAAGGCCCTCAACAAGATGGATTGAAACAGTGGCTACAACAATGCTCTCAGGTATAACAAGGATTGTGAGGCTGGCACAGGACTGGGCAATGTTTCGTTCTGCTGTGCATAGGGTCGCTATGAGTCAGAGATGACTCGACAGCACCTAACAACAACAGCAACATATTAGTAGGGTAGTACCTATATGTGGTTTTTAAATAGTAAATATATACGTATGGGTTGCATGGTAAATATATACATATGGGTTATATATGGGTTACAGAGCTGCAAGTGACCTTAGCTGCCCAGGGATCCAGAAGAAGGAGACCGTGGGACTTTTAGGACTTGCTCGAGAAGTGGGCTATGTCCCTGCCTTCCCAGAATAACAACAGTAAGGGTAATAAGATCTGACCCTATTGAGTGTTTACTATGTTTACTAGGAATTATTCCAAGCACTTTACATGGGTTAACTCTCTTAATCCTCATATCGTTGTTGTTGTTGTTATTTGCCATCCAGTCAGCATATCAGCTCTAAAAGGAAGGTGGAATTATTACCCCCATTTGAGAGGTGCAGAAATGAGGCCCAGAGAGATTACATAATTTATCCAAAGCTTGGAAGGAAAGTTGGGCAATCTACTTCCATAGCGATACCACCTCAGAAACCCAAGGAGGAGTCACTATGAGTTGGATCCAACTCGATGGCAGTGAGTTTGGTTTTTTTGAGAGAGGGTAGAGCAGCCCAGACTGAACCTAGGCATTCTGGCTCTAGAGACTGAGTTGTTCAACCCCTATGTGCCCAAACTGAAAGCAAGAAGGACCTGGAGGCCTGTGTGTGGGGCATGGAAGAGAGAAGGAGGTGCTAGAGGATCTAAGAAGAAGAGAGACTTGGGGGGGGGTAGGTGAGAGGCAGCAGCTATAGCAGGAGAAGGGCACCATGTGGATCGCTGCAGCTTGCAGAAGGAAAGGGAGTTGGGAGTGTACAAAGGAGGAGAGTAGGGTGCCAGCTATGGAGGCCAGGGGAGCACCTGGAGTAACATCAGAAAGATGGGGTGGGGTCCCTGACATGAGCTTTGCCATGTGATGTTCTGAGGAAGACCACACAGAGTCAAGACGGAGGACCTCAGTACCCCACCAGGGCAGGAATGGTCCATGGAATTCCCCCTCCCTCTGCTTGTGCTGAGCAGAGAGCAGGACTCTGCTGTACTCCACCCCATGCCCACTGCTTCATGTGTTTTCTAGGAAGTCAATTAAGGCTTCCTGGCTATGCAAGTAGAAGTTGGATGACTTTGTTAGGATTGTGCAGAGGGAGATAGACGTAGGCTGAATCTGTAAGGCTCCTTGTCCTGGAATGTTTAGACGAGTGACTGAGTGGAGAGGAGGGGCCTGGGGATGGGTCCAGGAACACTGTACCCTTGTATCACCTTGCCTGCCTCAGCCTTTCTCTGAGATTGAACTATCCTGCACTAGTTGGAAAGACCACATTCTAGAAATAATTATACCTCTGTGGGGCTGTAGCCTTCCAGGGCAGGCCTCCTAAACTTGCCTCATTGTGGTTTGCAGAACTTTCAGGATAGGCCATACACCCAAGTTGCTTCACTATCAGCTTGGATTTATACTTTATTTTATTCAAACTTTTCTTCACCCTCTCTTGACTTCCAAGGCCATAACTCTTATTGTTGTTGTTTACCGTCGAGTCGGACCCGACTCATAGCAACCCCTCCTTGGGTTTCCGAGGCAGTATCACTACGGAAGTAGATTGCCCCA